TTCTGAGCCACCTGTGCCTCCAGGACAGAGAAAGGGGAAGGGGAAGAGGCTCATCACCTGGAATGCTCTGTCTGCGGCATGCCAGGGCCACATCGGTCCCTCCTGCATCCTTGCCCCCTTTGGAGTAAGGTCCATCGTCTGCAGGCAAGAAAGAGAAAAGGCCCTGAGTTCCACTTTCATTTCCGTGCAGGTGAAACCTTTCTGCCTTGGGACTCTTCTGCTTCATGGATGTGACCTGTAAAAGGGGTTCCCTCCTGCCACCGGCTCCGACTGAATCTGCTGGGCGGTGGCGGGAGGGGGGGGGCGGTCCTCATGGCTTCTCCTCCCAAAGGAGGCTCCATCTCTGCCCTTGAGTGGAATAACCTTCTTCTGAACACCACCACATACTGGGGCTTCACAGCCATCCTGTGGTTGAGTGTCATCCCACTGTATAGATAGAGAAGCGGAGGCCCCAAGCGGGACAACTCAGGCGCATAGTCACACAGCTGGGGAGTCACGCCATCTGGATTAGAGCACAGGTCTTGGGGCCCCACCACCCGGGGGCTGTGCCTGCACAACTGCCGGGACTGGCAACTCTCTCCCATGCAGGCACCACGGCACAGGTGAGACGGGGCTGACTGTGAGCAAACTCAGTCAAATGGACCCACTCAGCGCTCCTTCATGAGGACTGCACTTGATTGTTTACAGTTCACATTCTCAGATGTTCTGGCAGCCCGCGAGAAGTGTGTCTCCTTTAGCTTCAATTCTAGAAAACACTCTCTGAGAAGTCTGTCTCCTTTAGCTTCAATTCTAGAAAACACTCTCCGAGAAGTCTGTCTCCTTCAGCTTTAATTCTAGAAAACGCTCTCCGAGAAGTCTGTCTCCTTTAGCTTTACTTCTAGAAAACGCTTTAAGAAGTTTTCACAGATTTCAAACATAACGAAAACAGAATAGTACAATGCGGAGGTTCTCAAAGCATGGCTCCTAGACCGGCAGCACCAGCAACCCCTGGGAGCTGGTCAGAAACACAGATTCTCGGGTCCCACCTAGGACGTAGGACATTAGAAACTTTGAGGATGGGGGTCCAGCAATCTGCATGTGTACATGTTTTAGTAGATTACCCTAACTTACATTTTCATCTATTTTTTAAATTTTATAGACATTAAAGTTCTTTGTCGTGTGCTCTTCTCTGGGTTTTGGGAAATGTGTCCTGACCACCACAACCAAGATTTAGAATAATTCTATCACCCCCAAAATTTTCCCTTGCTCCCCCCTTTGTAACCAACCAGTCCCTGCCCAACCCTCAGCCCCCAACTACCACCGATCTGTTTTCTCTATATATACTCTTGGCTTCCCTAGAATGCCATATAAATAGAATCATGTAGTAAGTATGTGGGCTGTTAAGTCTACTTTCTTTTATTTAGCATAATCATTTGGGATTCACTCCTGTTTTGCATGGATCAGTGGTTTGTTCCTCTTTTTTTATTTAAAAAAGTTTTTTTTTATGTTTATTTTTGAGAGAGAGAGAGAGAGAGAGAGAGAGAGAGAGCAAGCAGGGAAGGGGCAGAGGGAGGAGACACAGAATTCAAAGCAGGCTCCGGGCTCCAAGCTGTCAGCACAGAGCCCAATGAGGAGCTCGAACTCATGAACCGTGGGATCATGACCCAAGCCGAAGTCGGATGCTTAGCCACCCAGGAGCCCCAGTTTGTTCCTCTTTATTGCTGACCGATGTTCCACTGCAGGGATGCATCTGTTTGCTTAGCCATTCACCTACTGAAATACATTTCCACTCTTCCCAGTTTGGTGCAATTTCACAGGGGGCATAATAAATATTTGCATATAGATTTTTGTTTGAACATAACTTTCTGTTCCATTTGGGTAAATACCCAGGGATGGGATTCTGGGTCACATGGTAAGGATGAGGTTAACTTTGTGTGAAACTGCCAACCTGCTTTTCAGGGTGGCTGCACTATTTGTGGGTCCACCAGTAATGTAGGAGGGGTCTGGTTGCTTCACATTCTCACCAGTATTTGGCAATGTCAGGTAGGATTGGTTTTGTTGTTGTTGTTGTTGTTGTTGTTGTTGTTGTTTTAATTTTAGTCGTTCTAACAGATATGTAGAGGCTTCTTACTGTGTTTTTTTAAAAGACTTTATTTTTAAGTAAACTGCACACCCAACGGGGGCTCAAACTCACAATCCTGAGATCAAGAGTCATATGCTCTCCCTGCCTGAGCCAGCCAGGTGTCCTTCTTATTGTGGTTTAACGCACACTTGCCTAATGACTATGATGTGGTACGCTTTTCCTCATTTGCCACCCATATATATCTTCATTGGTGCAATATCTATCCAAACCTTTTCCTCATTTTTAAATTGGGTTGTTTGTTTTCTTGTTATCAAATCTTTATATATTCCAGATTCCTCTGTGTAGATGTAATAATTTTGTGTTTTGCAAAGGCAACTCTGTGTCACACTGAAGTTTGAGAACCACTGGTATAATGAATCATCTTTACCCAACATCTAGTTTTAACAATTAACACTTTGTCATATGTATCCCATGTATTTTTATGTTGAGATACTTTAAAACAAACTCCAGATATGATGAAATTACACTCTAAATATTTCAGTATGCATTTAAAAAAGTGGGAACACATTTCTTAAATAGCAAAAATATCACTATCACACCTTACAAAATTAAAATGATTTCTGGAGCGTCTGGGTGGCTCAGTTGGTTGAGTGTCTGACTTCAGCTCAGGTCTTAATCTTGCGGTTCGTGAGTTCGAGCCCCAGATCAGGCTCACTGCTGTCAGCCAGTCAGCACAGAGTCTGCTTCGGATTCTCTGTCTCCCTTTCTCTACCCCTCCCTCACTTGTGCTCTGCCCAAAATAAATAAATTTTTTTTAATTTTTTTTAATCTTTATTTATTTTTGAGAGAGAGACAGCGTGTGAGCCAGGGAGGAGCAGAGAGAGAGGGAGACACAGAATCTGAAGGAGGCTCCAGGCTCCGAGCTGGCAGCACAGAGCCCGACGCGGGGCTCGAACTCACGAACCGTGAGATAATGACCTGAGCTGAAGTCAGACGCTCAACCGACTGAGCCACCCAGGTGCCCCAAAATAAATAAATATTTTTTTAAATTCCTTCATTATTAAATTACTAATTAAAATCCACTCCATATTCAAATTTTCCCAACTTCAGTAAGTTTCTAATTTCAATGAGTACAATTTTGGTTTTAGAAAGTTGTGTTTGGTTCTTTTGCTTATATCCTTGTCATATATTGTTCTTTCCTTATCTAGTGCACCTTACAGGTCTCTAATAATTTTAAATCTTTGCAATGTTCATCTATTACTCAATTTTCTATTATCTCAGACTCTTGAGAGGTGTTTCTGCTGTCTGGGATGTCTGATGACTCTCCCTCGTGGTGAACTACTTCCTTGTATATTTGGTAATTGTTGGATTGTGAGTTCATGTATAGTAGGGCTTCATCTGTGGGAATCTTATTCAGCCTGGTTGAAGGCAGGTCCCTCCAGGGTCCAGAGAGTATTTGCAATTCCTTTCCCTCAGTGCCTGCCAAGGCATTATTTATAGAAATATTGGCTCAGGGGTTCTGGAACCAGGGGAGTAGTGTGAATTACAACCTTCAACAGATACCAGGGGCACATCTCGGAAACCCAAATCTCAAGACCTAGCTGAGACAGACATTCTCTCTCTTTGGTAGATGGGTGGGTATTTTCCAAGTCCCCACTTTCGCTGAGGGTATGTCTTTTTAAAGGTCCTGGCTTTATGCTGGGGTGTGAGTTCCAACTAGGGAAGGTATAGGGACATCATCTCCTGTATCCTTAAGCTATTAAAACCTAAGCCTTTGGTTGCCAGACCAGCAAACACCTTCATTCCTGCTGCCCCCCCCCCCCCCCCCCCAGTAAGGAAGCTTATCAGCCTACATGCATCCTGCTGGTTTTCAGCTTTCTCTTCATTTTTTGATTAGAAATGTACTAAATTTACAGACCAATTTGTGGACAGTTGACATCTTTACAATATCAGGTCTTCCAATTAATGAGCATGGTCTACTCTTTCATTTATTTTTGTCTTCTTTAATCTCTGCCAAGAATATTGTATACTTCCACGGGCAAAGACCATGTACATCTTTCATGAAATATATTCCTAGATATTTGAAGTGTCTTAATGCTATTGTAAATTGGATTGTTGTTCAAATTTAATTTTCTAATCATTTGTTGCTGACATAGAATAACAGAGTCGATTTTGTATACTGACCTTTAAAACTCCCGTATTAATTCTAATAGTTTATCTGTAGGTTCTCTGGGCTTTTCTGTCGTCTGTGAAAAATGACAGGTTTTTTTTCTTTCTAAATGTCATACTTTTTATTTCTTTTACCTGCCTTTTTGCACTGGCCAGACTTCCAGTGCAAAACTGACAGAAGTGGTTATGAAGGCCGCTCTTATCTCCTCTCCAATGCACCCTCTTCATTTCCTATGAGTTTATCTGTGCATCTCAAAAGAGTTTGAAGCTGGAAGGTTTCAGGTTACCTGCTCTGTGATAATGCCTGAGCCCTTGCCTCTCCACAGAACTTGTTTGTCTTAGACACTGTGCATACTCTGGATTCTCCTCTATGCCCTGGCAGCAGGGGGGAAGGGGGGCTCACACATCATGCACCAACCATCCACACCATCCCCTATATCTCATTTACTTCTAACAGTAACCCTGGGAGGAGGGAGATGTTACCATCACTTCCACTTGACAGATGAGAAAACCTGAGACTCAGAGGGGCAAAGTTCTTGGCCAAGGAAGCTTCTGCCAAGAGCCAGGACCTGACCCCAGGCCCCTTTGCCCCTGTCACCCCACATTCCCAGCCCCCTTAACCAGGTTATTTTTTTCACACTCCTTCTCCAGGTCCTTCCTCAGCACCAGACTGAGATGGGCAAAGACAACTGGCAAACCATCAGGCTGGCAGGCTCTCCCGTGCTGACTCGGGGGCCACCCCTCCCAGCACCAGACATGTCCCATGGGTCTCCAAGGCCTCATGTGAGCCTGCACACATCCCCACCCACCTATGAAGAAGAGCCCTCCTGCTGCCCTCATTCAGGCAGCTCCAGCCTGGCCCAGTGTTAAGGGGATGTGCTCAGGGTTCAACCCATCCTGAGTGCAG